TAGATTCTCATAAGGAGTGTGCAACCTAGATCCCTCACATGTGCAGTTCACAGTAGGGCTCGCGCTCCTAGGAGAATCTAATGCTGCTGCTGATCTCACAGGAGGCGGAGCTGAGGCGGTAATGCAAGTGATGGGGGGTGGCTGTAAATACAGATGAAGCTTTGCTCAGTCGCCTGCCATTCACCTCCTGCTGTACGGCCCGGTTCCTAACAGGCCACAGACCAGTACCGGTCCGCAGCCCAGGGGTTGGGGACCCCTGCTCTAAACCCAACTATAATGACCAGGAACTTCGGTCACCATAGCTCATAGTGAAAAATACTGTGTGAACCTGAAAAAAAGAATGCTGCTCCTGTAAGAGTCACATTTATTTTAATGAGTAGACTTCTTAAAGCAACAGCCAAAGTCTGAAAAAATCAGGTTGCTTTAATGAATAGGAAAAAGGTGCTGTGTTTGTACAAGGCCCAAAGCACTTCTCCCAAATCATTTTTTAAGCAAGTGCTACTAGATATTATGTCCTTCCTAGTTATGATCTAGGGAAAACCCTTTAGAATGCTGTGGAATCAAAAACTACTGCAGGGAAATGTGAAGTCTTAAAAGTGATACTAGGGACATATTGAATGATGACACTCAAGCAGTGGAATTCATTTCAGGCCCTCCAGTCTAAGGAAAGTGATGGTTGATTTCCTTTTTCTGGATGAGAAGATCTTTATATATGGCTAAATTTTCTTAAATCTACCTAAGTTCCAGAAGACTGTCAGCAAAAGGGACTAATACAGTGTCAACATTTTAAGGCCTTATATACAGCACACAGGATAACCGGCCGATGCACCTGAGGACAAAGTTGCAATGGTATTTATCTTAAGCTATTCAGAAATGTGGTGAGGCTGCTAGGACTAACTAAGGCGTGCCTAGACAGCAGCACCAGGTGAATCTAAGGGCTCTATTCACGTCTTTCTTTCTCTGGAATCATGCAGGATTCCAAGATATACATTGGACATGCTATTCCTTCCAGAGAGGGAGCCAACCAATTAAGCAAGGGTTCTCAGCATTTCAAAAACCTAATTCCAGAAATTAAAATGCTATGGAGAAGAAAGGTTACAAGAACGTTCTTTTTGTGGACCTATGAACACATCTGCTGACTGGCATGCTAACTGGGCATGCCAACTTATTTTTCTGGCAGGATTTTTGTGATGTTGAGAATGACATGATAGTTAGAACTATCAGCAGGCAGAAGGCTCCTTTCCTGATAGCTCTACCTTTTCTTTAACAGAATTCTCTTCACAGCACAGAAAGCCCTGCCAGAAAAAAGTAAACAACCCAAATATTAGCCCCATATTTTGCAATATAATCTGAGCATATTTGTAAAGACAATCCTCATAGGATACTGTTCCCTAAAGTGGACTTGCCATGACCGTGAGGCTGATTTTAAGAAAAATAAACAACCATCACTAACTGAAACTCCCCTGTACTTGTTAAGAGACTTCCAACAACCATAGAAAACATTTAACATTCTTGTGCCATTTCTCCAAGTGATGAATAGAAACAGAGATGCTTAAGTTACTATCAGGTTAAGTCTTCATTTATTTCCTTGATATATTTTCTCAGGGAAGGAGGTTACTTCTTCACTGTGTTTATTTGAAAGGAGATCTTGTTACACAGCAGCAAAAACTTCAGAGTCACCGTACTTTCTTGATCTAATATATATTCTTTCTTAAGGCTCAGTTAGTCCAAAATGTACTCTTGTTCTATCTCTCAAAAGTTCTAATCAGTTTCACAAGCAGAAGATGTTAAGGCACTGGCTTGTATCTGCACATGTGTGCTGGAATATTTTAAGCCATGAGCAACAGTGGGGACAAAATGCTTAGATTGATGTGACTGACTTTAAAGCTAGATACTTTCTTTGCCTATTCATCAGAACATTAGAGAACATTTCTCTAGAACCATTACTGTTTCATACCTAGACAAGATCTATCCCAGCACTTAAGAGAAAGCTATACTTTAGCTGTTGTTTTGAGAGACAGGCCTGGCATTCAAATGACTTGGGTGATAGATAGTATTACAGCAAAGTAAATTATTGTGGATGTCTGTTTGTGGTTTGTGTAAACAGCTAACTATCCTGTAAAGTATTTGATATAGTGCTGATCCATTCCAAGACAAGCCGATTATGATTGTTCTTGGGCCTTATTCCTTTCCTCCCCCTTTTTCTGGGTTGTATTTGTTTTCCTGCACCTCTTTGCCTCTCTGTGAACATTCCAGTCAAATAAACAGTGAGAATTATAAAGGTTTCATACATGCAGCTGAGTCTGGGCATGACAAAACAGGAAATTTGAATTAAGCAATGGTAGACCAGCAACGGGCCATACAACCATTTTTGTTTTCTCTCCAAAACCACAGATACCTTTTGAAAAATGGCGATAGAAACAAAATGTTTTCAGTATCACACCTTGGGTAGCAGAGCCAAATGTTTCATAAACCATGTAAACCAAAAGTTAGGCAGAGCAAAACAGCTGGCTTCCAACAAGGACTGCCCCCCTACAAAGTGTGCTGAAGGTCTGGAAGAAGCATAGAGAACAAACTTGTTGGCTAAGGCCACGGTAAAGGGTTTTCCGGTGTTTATGTTGCTGCTGCCAGCCTTACTCAAGGGTGTATTCACAGTGGACACATTGATCCACATCTTTTTCCTCCAGCCACCAATCAAGGGAGAAGTCCATGTTATTCAACTCCAGCTCTCTGCTTTGTAGTGTCGTAGGATCGAACAACTTGAGACTGAGAAACGACCCCATGCTCCTCTTGAGAAAAAGCATAACCATCTGGGGAGAGAAGAGGAAAGAGCCGAAAAAGACATTTGGAGTCAGACAGAGGTTACAGTTTGCTTCTTTAACAGCTATGAGAGAAGGAGTATGCAATGGATATAATATGAGAGGAGATCAGAAGCAGATAAACCCAGTTCAGTCCATACAACTACAGCCTTTTTTCTGATGTTCTTTCAGGGTAATGTGGATAACCCTGACCAGAAGAGAACATTATCACAGCACTAGATCCCCCCGCCCATGCATTCATTAGAACTAAAATCAGGAACATGGGGGATTCAGCTTGTTTTCTCCCAAACCCAGTATCCTATGTTCCTACCCCATCCCTGTTTTTAACTAAAGGGAAAAATATTGGGAGAACTGAACCAAATCTAGAGTGAGGAACCATGATGCCTCAAACACAACTGCTGTTCAGGGAGCATTAAAAAACGAACATGGTCCAGTATCCACTATTTTCAGGGTAAACATGAGCCACACACCAATGCATAGTTCTGTAAGTATGAGAAAGGTTTAGAGGGAGCGGGGTCTGCTAACGTCTTTTCATTTAAAAATGAACTTTTCAGGCACTTCCATGTGAGGATTCTGCACCGTCATTTGAGAGCTGAGCTAATTCTTTTTTCTGCTTCCTCTGCAGTTTATCTGAAGCTGTAGTATGGAGATAGATAGATAGATAGATAGATAGATAGATAGATAGATAGATAGATAGATAGATAGATAGATAGATATAAATTGCTCAGACTCAGTGGAGTTTGCCCCATAAACATCCCAGCCTAGGAAGCCTTTAGTTCTTCCTCACAGGAACTGCTGGAATTCTTTTCCCATATGGCTTTAAAATTCCACACAACATAAAGGACAGACATGGTGTATGCGTTTGTGTGTTTGTGTAAGCAACTGATTTATATGCCTTTTGCATCAAGTGGGGATGAAAGGATCTTTGCTCTTATCCTGCTTGGTAAAATTTTATTTTATTGTTTTGTTGTAATTTCTTTTTCTTTTTTCTTCACTTGACAGGCAACCGGTGTCACTGCATAGCCAGATTTTAGGCCTTTCCCCGCTTGCACTAATACAGAGTACAAGCATGCCCTGGTAACATCTTTGTTCTACCATTATCCCATGACATTGCATTAATCTTATCCTCATCCCATGCATGAAACATGTTTAAGTCAACCATAGTTGTGCCGGTGTTAAAGTAGACTTTCTTGCCTTAAGCTGACAGATTCCAAAGGCAGGGTCCTGTTAGGTTTTACCACTTATTATCTTAGAGGAAAGTCAATTGACTGCAATAACTTGAAATAGAGAAGTAGGGGTAGGATAGGGATTAGCAATGGAGGCAGTAAAGGTCATGCTGGTATTGTTTTCTGCCAGCACAATGATGCATGGATAGTACTTCAACTCAGCAGTGGAGAAATATCCTTTGACACCAATCTCAGCAGAAAGAACCTTCCTTCCTTCCTTCCTTCCTTCCTTCCTTCCTTCCTTCCTTCCTTCC